GGAGGCCGCGCCGGGGGGGCGCGGAGGAGAAAGAAAAGCGAGGACGACCCAGACGCAGGCCGGCCGACGCAAGGCGGCGCGCGACAGGCGCCGGGCCCGGAGGAGAGAGAAGAGAGAGGGCAGAGGCCGGCAGGAGCGCAAGCCAACGACGCGGCCGCGAAGGAAGGGCCCGCGGGCGCAGGAGGGACGGAAGACGCCGGGGAGCAGGAGAGAGCGCGCAGCGAACGCCAGACAGGAGGGCCGCCAAAGCGGAAGGGCGAAAACGACCGCCGCCAACGCGAAGGCGGGGGAGGAGGGGCGCGCAGGAAGCGGAAGCGGCCGCGACGCAGAAGCAAGAACCCGGCCCGGCGGCAGCAAGACACAACCCAAACCAACGCCGGAGCGCACAAGAGACCGGGAAGCCCCGCCCGCAACGGGAAGAGGCAAGAGAGGAGCGGGGGCAAAACGCCGGAGCCGCAAAAAGCGCGCCGCACACCCGCGGACCAAACAAAGGGAACAGCCGGGCGAGGCAACCCGAGGCAAAGGCGCGGCGAGAGGAGAAAAGCCCGCAACAAAACGCCGAGAGGAGCCGGCCAAGCCGACGAAGCGACGAAGCGCAGGCACAGAGGGGGGCCGGGGCCAAGCACGAAGAGCCGCAAGCGGCGCCGGAGCAACCCGAAGACCCGCCGGGGACACCACGGGCCCCAAGAAGGCGACAGACGCAAGCCAAAACGCGCACGGGAGAACGGGCAGAAAGCCGCGAGCGCGCAAAGCGGGAGCACGAGCCCAAAGGGCGCAGGCGCACGCCGGCGCCCGAGGAGACCAGGAGGGCAGCAAGGAAGACAAGGACAAAGAAAGCAAGGGAGGGCCGGAACACACGGGGCAGCAAGGCCAGGAAGGCGGCAGGGCAGGAGGCAACCCAAACGACAGCACCAAGAACGCAGAAGGCCAGAACGAGGCCAAAGCGGGCGGAGGACGGCCGCGGCCCGAAGCCGCAACGGGGGGAGCCGGAGCGGAAAGCAAGCGGAGAAAAGACCACGGCACCCGGAAGCGGAGCAAACAAAGCAGCAAGACGAGCAGGGGGAACGGGCGGCACCGGCACCGGGGCAGCGGCCGGGAGGCAAGACACAAGCGCAGAGACCGGCCGGCGGCGCACGAAGAGGACGGGGCACCCCAAGGCGAGACACGAGGCGAAGAAGCCCGGACCCAAGAGAGCCGGAAGCGAACACGGAGCGCCGGGAGCGCGGCAGAGCCAGCCGAGAGGGCGGAAGAGAAAGAGGCCGAGACCGGGCGCAAGCGCAAGCGGAAAAGCAACAGCACGCGCGGGGGAGGCCAGGAGAGCAGGAGGAAACACAGCGAGGAAGGCACGAACAACAGGAACGGACGCAACCGGGAGAAACCGCCCGACGCACAGCACGACAGAGGCCAAAAGGAGAAGCAGCCGCGAGCCACGAGCGCCGAGCACGAAGAAAAGAGAGAACCCCAACGGGGGGCGACCACGAGAGCCCGGCCACACCACCGAGGAAGACCGGAAGGCGAAGGAACGGCGGAGAAAAGCAAGCGAAACAGCGCGAGAAGGGAGAACCAAGCCAGGCCCAGAAGCACAGCAAAGCAACCAGGCAAGCAAGAGAAGGGCAGCCCGGGGGCACGCCCCGGGAGAGGAACGAAGCAAGAGCGAAAGACCGGAGCCACGACGAAAGACGCACCCACGGGGGCGACACACGCAACGCGCACCAGAGGCGCAGACAGCAAACGCAAGCGAGAGGCAGAGGAACAGAAACAGACGAAAAAGGAGAGCCGGGACAAAGAAGCCAAGCGGGCGGCGGGCAGAAGAACACGGGACCGGGGAGCACAGCGGCCGAGGGCGCCGCAGCGGCGCGAGCGGGAGCGGCAGAAAAGGGGCCGGGACGCCCCGACCCGGGGCAGCGGCGCGGCCCCCGAAGCGGCCGCCGCGGGACCACCCCGGAGACCCGGGGACCACCCCGACGGGCCGGCCCGGGCCGCGGCCGCGAGCGGGAGGGGCGGGCGCAGGCCGAACGGCCGGGGGAGCGGGGAAGGCGAACCGGCGAGGGGACACGCGCGGCCCAAGGAGCGAACGCCCCACACGCAGAACACCCGGGGACGGGCGACGGAGAGCGGGAGGGCGGCGACCCCGGCCAGAAGAACCCAGCGGGGAACGAGCGCGGCCCCGACGAGGACCGGCACGAAAACCAAGAGGGCGGGCGGAGCACCCGCGGAGGCCGGGAGAGCAGCCGGGAAGGGGCGACGAGACGGACCCGACGGAAACCGCGGCGGGGAGCGAGCAGAAGACGCGCGGGGGCGGAAACGGCGCCGAGCAGAGCGAGCCGCCGGGCGAGCGCGCGGCCGCGGCCCCCGGGGGCCGCGCGACGGAGCGGCGCGAGAGGGCGGGCAGGGGCCACGACAGCCAGAAAGGAGCGGCCCGCGGAGACGAAAGACGGAGGCGCAAGCCGCAACGGGAGGCGCAAACCCCGAACAAAACAACGAACCCGCGCCGCCGCAGGAGGGAAGAGCAGGGCGGCAGGCCGGGAGAGCGCGGGAACGGGCCGCAGACGCGGAGACGGGCAGGGAGCCCGGCGCGAACCGAGCAAACGGAGCGCGGAGCGGAGCCGGAGGCGCCGGGGAAGAAAGCGGGCCAAGAAGGCCGCGGAAAACGCAGGCCAGGGGACCGGGGAGACCCAGCGGGCCGGGCGCGAAGGAGGGACGCCACCACGGCCGGGCGGGACCGGCGAACGGGAAGCGGGGAAGGCGGCGCCCGCGACGCCACGAAACCCAAAGGCGGGAGCCGCGCGCGGCAAGGAACGAGAAACGCGGGGCAGCCGCCCCCACGGCCCCAGAAAACCGCGGCGGGGAGAGGCGAAGGAACACCCCGAGCAGCGGCGGCGCCCGGAGGGGCAGGACGCCCGCCAAAGCGGCAGGCGGAACAACCGGGGCGCGAGCGGCGGAACAACCGGACCGCGGGGGGAGGCGGCCCGGCGGACGGGAACGGCGGGAGCGGGGGCCGGCGGCAGACCCCCAAGGGCAGCGAGGAGCGGGACGAGCAGCGCCGGAGAGCGGGACGGCCACAGGCGCGGCGGGGCGGGGCGGGGCCCGGGCCCAGCGGCGGCGGCGGGCGGGAGCGGCGGGGGCGCGAGCACCGGCGCCGGAGGGGCGCGCGGGCCGGGGGGGGCGGGAGCGCGGGCACGACCGCGAGGGCGGCCGCGACCCCGAGCGGGGGCCCGACCACGCGGGCGAGCCAGCCCGAGAAAAGAGGGGACAAGGAAAAGGGCAGAAACCGAGAAGACAGACAAGGCACGACAGGAGACAAAAGCGACACGGGCCGAAAGACAGCAGGGAGCCGCCCGAAGAGAAGTAACGGACGGCGCCGGACCGAGCGCAGACGCGACGAGACGGAGCGCGGGACAAGGGAGACCGACGAACCGGGGCGCGGAGACCAAGGGGCACGACCCGAGGGACAAGGCAGGAGGGCACCGACTAGAACCCGCCAGCAGGGAAGCCAACCCGGAACCCGGAACAACAAGGAAGGGGCGGAGGGAGAAAGGAAACAAGAGGAGGCAAAGAACAAGAAAACAGGCGGAAGCAAACCAAAAACAGAGAGACAAAAAAGAGCCCGCCCAGAACCGGGAAGGCACGAGGACAGAGCGACGACAAAAGGAGGACAAGGCCAAAACGGACAACAGAGACGGGACGGGCGCGAAAGGAAAAAGACAAGGCGAGAGAGACAGAGGGAGACGGAAAGAGGACAAAACGCCGGGGGCGCACCCCCGGCGCCGGAGAAGGCGACGCCAAGCGAGAGCAACGCGGGCGACGAGGGCGCGGACCGGCAGCACAAAAGAGAGGCAGAGCGGAGGAGGACCAAAACAACAGGGACCCAGGAGGCAGCAGCGGCCGACGGAGCAAGAGAAGCAAAAGGAACGGAAAGGCAAAGAAAGGGGCACAGCAAGGGCAAAGAGGAGGAAAGGGGGGAGGGACACGAGCGGACAGGCAACAAAGACAAGCAAGCGAACGAACGCCGCCGGGCGCCCAGAAACCCGACGGGGGGCGCGGGCACAAGAAAAGAAACCACCGGCACGGACCCCCAGAAGCCCGGCAGAGGCCGGCAGGGGAAGGAAAAGAAGGGAGCGAGAAGGGCGAGCACAAGAGGACCAAGGCCGGACGGGGAACGGAACCAGGCCCAAGCAGAGGCCAAGAGCGCAGGACGGCCCGGACGGGAACCGGAAGCGCGCCAACCGCCAAAACCGCAACCGACAGAGGAGAGGAAGCAAGACGAAACGGAAGCGGGAGGGAGGAAGGGGAAGACACCACGGGCAAGCGGGACCACGGACGCGAACCGGGACGAGAGCGAAGGAGGCAACCGAGAGGGGCGGGACCACGGACGCGAACCGGGGGGGAGCCAAAGGGCGGGCACGGGGGGGCACGGACGCGAACCGGGGACGGGAGCCAAAACCAGGCGCAGGAAGCGGGACCACGGACGCGAACCGGGGACGGGAGCGAACCAGAGACAGGGAAGCGGGACCACGGACGCGAACCGGGGACGGGAGCGAAAGCCGGACAGAAGGAAGCGGGACCACGGACGGGAACCGGGACGGGAGCGAAGAGAAAAGCAGGGCAGGAGGGAGACAAGGGCAGAAGCGGAGGACCGCGAGAAGGCGCGACGAGCAGACGCAAGGCGGCGAGAGCAGGCGACAAGGAGCGGACCGGCCGAAACGACGGCGGAAAAGGCGACGGCCCAACGACAGCCGAAAGCGCGCAAGGCGAGGGCAACACGAGGCGAAGCCGAGACGAAGGCCAAACAGACGGCAAAGCAAGAGGAGCAGAGACACCACAAGAGAGGGAGAGGCAAGAAGAGCAAGAGACAGGCGGGCAGAAGCCAACACGGGCCCGAAAGAAGGGCGAAGGCAGGAAGGAGAGAAAGGGAGCAGGCGCGACACCCGAACCCCGCCAGACGCAAGCAAAGCAAGAAACAAAGGCCGAAACAGGCGCAAGCGCACGAGAGAAAACCAGAGCCGACCGGAAAGCCGAGCACGGGCGCCAACGCACGGGACCGGAGCGGGGCCGCGCCGAACGGGCGCCAAAGGCGGCCCCACGAACAAAAGGGGAAGCACCGGGCAGGACGAAGAGAGGGACACGAAAAGGAGAGGGGGCGGAGACGACCCAAAAGCGGGGCAAACGGGAGGGGGGGCCCACAAGGAGAAGCGCAAAAGCGAAGCCGGGGAAACGGCCCAACGACCGGACGAAACGAAGACCCCAAAAGGGGAGCACAAACAGAGGCCGACAACACCGCAAAGCAGCCACAAGAAGGAAAAAGGGCAGCCCCGGGAGCACCAAGGGGCGGAAAAAACGAGACCCGGCAACCCAAACAGAGGAGACCACGACGAGCCGGGCGAAAAACGCGACAAGGGAGCCCCAAGAAGGACGGAAAACGGACGGACGAGGAGCAAGAGCGCACAGGCAAAAGGCAAGAAAAAACCAGCCGGAAAGCACACGGGCAGGGGCGAAAAGGGAGGGCGGACCGCAAACGAAGCCGCCCCGCGGGGCCGAGAGCACCGCGAGGGCCCCGCGAAAGGCGCGGGAAGGGGGCCGGGGAAGCACGGAAGGGGGACGCAAAAGGAAGGAGAAGCGCAAGGGAAGGGGAACAAAAAAGGGACGAAGGGGGGGAAAGGCGGGAAAGGGCCAGAGGGCACGCCGCGGCCACGGGGCGGCACGGGGCGCGGCCACGGCACCGCCGCGGGAAAGGCGACAACCCGGCAAACGGAAAGGGCGAGGGGCGGACGGGCGGAGGCGGAAAAAGACAAACCGGAGAGGGAAGCGGAGGGGAAAGGAGAGGGCGGACGCAACGGGGAAGGCGGAAGGGCCAGGGGGAG